TGCCAAATTTCCGGAATTTCCTGGAAAATTTCAAACAGTTTCTTCAACGTTTCATTTCTAAGCGATTTCTTCTTCGACATATTTCATAGAAACTTTCGATAAATGAATGAATAAATAGACGTTCTCAAAACATTGGAATTGATTCTTAGGCGTCATCGATTCTGTTTATAACTCTTCTAGTTAATCAACCTCTAGTTTGATTTGCGCTTTCATTCGACCACTTCCAATCAGATTATATTCTACATTCATGATAACATGAAAAACTTTATGAAGAGATGAAATGTGGGAATCTCATTCGATGATACAAATCTCCAGTGGGAATGCAGTCTAAAATCGTAAATTCTGCAAAGAGAAATCTAAATTTTTATCAAAATTTCATCCTGCCTACGTTGATTTCAGTGGTCGGAGTGAGCCGCTCGCGAGAAGTAAGTTGCCCCGACGGACTGAAGGTGTTATTGGGAGTTTCCCTTTACAGTCTGCATCGACATCGAAGACTATCACTCCGTCTGTAGCAGCCGAATGGCCACTAAACCCCACCTCACAACCGGTTGAATTGAACATAAGTCCGGCGCAAAGTACAACGCGACTTACGAGGCGAGAAACACCCGAGGGCAAGAAAGATGCCAAAAAGAGGTTCGTTGTCAGATGATCCGTTGCATTTTGTGCCAATGGGANACACCCGAGGGCAAGAAAGATGCCAAAAAGAGGTTCGTTGTCAGATGAAACGTTGCATTTTGTGCCAATGGGAAAATATTTCGCGAAAAAAAAAAGATTTCTTGGGAAAACACTTCGGTGCGTAATTTCTCTGTACGTACCCTTAATCTCATATGATTGATAACATTTCTAATTTTCAGTAAACGATCCACCGAACGACGAAATTCAACGGAATCTGAGAACAAAACCCAAAGCATACCATCGCCGTATTCGAAGGTGAACATATTCTTCCGTCTTAAATACATTGTTTTCATATTATTCGGCGGATGAAATTATCCGCGCATCGCTTCTAGCTACGCATACATGTAGTCAGACTCTCAACGGCCTGTACAGTGGTTTTATTCCTTACTATAACCGAATAATTTTTCTCTCCGAATAAATTCATTCCGGGTTTTGACATGGCTGAAATAATGAGTTTCTGATGGAAGTGACAAAATATTCTGACCTAACCGTGGACTGGAGGTCTCATTCGATCTGGTTATGAAACCTC